GTTTCATCCAAACAGTTTCCCCTAATAAGTCACTAGTATTAATCCAAGTACTATTACACAGATCTATTCCAGGTACCGTATATCTTAGATATTTTCTCTCTACCCCATTAATTACTGCTTTCTTGAAACACTTTCCTAAACTCTCCGTTCCTAAATTATTCACCAGATTGGCCTTACACTTTTCCAGCGATGGGCAGCTAGGTCGGATATGCCCGTCCTTTCCACATTGGTAGCACTTTAGTTTTCTCTGTTTCTAGAACCTCGCTTCATTGAAAACCAGCTCTTTTTTAGAATCCTCCCTTTTTCTATGCTCCGATTTAATTTTTTGATGACCACTACTTTTCTGATTATAACTATTTTTGGAATTTGCATACCGCTCTCTAACTTTCTCAAATGGTTTCTTGAACCCCGCTCTCTGTTCTACCCTCTCGGATCTCTTCGCAAAGCCTCATACCTATCACATTTCTCTGCTAAAATAGAAGCTGTTTTAAATTCTTCCCAATTGTCTAAGTAGCTCTCTCTTATCTTTTGAGGGACTCGTCGCTTAATTCGCTCGGTGAGCATAAGTTCCTTAAGTCTTTCAAAATCTTGAATTTCCACCGAATTCAACCAATTCTCTAAATACACTCTCAATTGATACACTAAATCCACCCATTCCGGTTTTTCTAGAATGTTCTTCGAATTTTGATTTTAGAGCCAAAGAACTGAGCTTGAATCTATGCATGAGTAATTTCTTAACATGCTGATAATCATCCCCTTTATCCACTGGTTCTTTTGCTATTAACTGCGCTACATCCTGAGGTAATAAAGTAATTAATTGCGATACCCAATTAATTTCATTACGTTCTCTTTTTGAGCTTCTTTCTCAATTAGAATAACAATGAAATATCTATATTACTTGGTTCAAAACGCGGTACTAGATCTTTTAAATTACTCCTTTTTTCTTTAGGTTGTTCAACTGTCGAAACTGTGAAAGCTAAACTATAAGGCTCAACTACGTTCATCAGTTTCAACTTCTCCAATTCAAAGACTCGCTCCCGTTCCCGTTCTCGTTCTGCTCTCTCTTGTTCATGTTCCCGTTCTGCTCCCTCTTGTTCACATTCTCGTTCTACTCTCTCTTTTTCGGCTATTTCGTCAGCTTGTTTCTGCTCAGCCGCAGCTCAAATTCTTGCCGTGTGTTCTTTCGCCGCTTCCTCTTCATAGTCCTCGGCATTAAGAATAGCCTGCCTAATTTCTCTTACTTTATTGGCCTGAGACACATTTGTCTCAAACTCCTCCACTAACTCCAATAGCAGAGCTTTAGTAAATTTCCTCATCAACTCACCTATTATGGAAAACTAAAGCAAAATAACCTTCCCCAATATGCAAAAAGAACAACAGGTCTATTTCTCCAAAACTGAGGAATACCCTAATAATTATGAACACTAATTGCTTTACAGCACTTAATGATATCTAACTAATTCACCTATGTATACATACAAAACATAAATCACAAATGCTAAATAAGATGCAAATTTTTCCTGCACTATCTCGACTATACAAATATTGTGCTCTAACACCGCACTGATTTCAAAACTAAATTTTTCTAAAGCATATCGTTACAATATCTCAAACAATGTAAACAGTTACTAGAACAATAGAACAAACAGTTAACTTTCAATTAACAGTAGTTTAACCACATGACTAACTTTCAATAAACAGAAGTAAACTTTTGATCAAGAATAATAGAGCTATATCCAAAATCAACCTAGTCTCGAATAACTGGCATATCTTCTCCAAAATCACAAAAATGGTACTCACCTATTTGAAGACACCTTCGATGACTCTCCTGGCAATAACACCGAATCTTCCGGGAAATTTCACTAGTTTGCGGCACTAGATCACACTCCGGCGTTCCCTTCTGACATCTGTCACTTTCTGAATAGGGTTCACCACGCGAACTGTCCTTGCAAGCAAAATTAGATCGTTCTTGTGCTGAGAAGATAGTCTTGACTGCTCACATAAAGTCCTTTACAATACTGGCTTTTCTGGAACTTCCATTCGACAATCCGGAACACTCACACGACGAGATGCACAGAAATCAATGCACGATGTTAACTGAAATTCACAGGCGAAATGTCCGTTCTTAAATTTACTCTCAGGGACAATCCCTAAATGCTGCCTCTAATTTTAATATTACTGCTGTGGTGTAGTGGCCGAAACCGCTACACAAACCCTGGGATTTTACACAGGGTTGAAATGAACTTGAAACACAAGTTTCAACAATAACATGAATTTTAATAAGATGATAACCTTAACAGTTGCGTATCTTGACAGTGTAGGACTTCGAGATATTTAGTCCCGTAATTTCAGAATTTTGTTAACAGGAAAAATGCTATAGCGCATTATGCGTTATACACGAGGAATTATCGTTCTTAGCAGGCCATCATGCCCATAGCTCTAAACAGAAAAGTTATCCTCTCTTCTCAGGAAACCACCTTATATATCTTCCTGATTTACTTGCGCTGAACTCCCGAGGGGGAATGATTTCACTCATACATAACAAAGTGTCCACCTCTTGACCCATATGAAAAGACTTCTTTTACCTCTTTTGTCAACTGGAGTGATCCTCGAGACTGCAACCGGAATCATTAGCAAAGGCACAGGATTGCACCACTGATATGAAAACTGTTGCACCCTGAAATCACTTATCCAAGACAAAAAATCTTTATGCCACTTTATCACAGCACCAAGTGTGCTGACCACTTCACCACGAAAACATGCTAAGAAGGCGGAAGAAATATCTTAAAAGTTCAGAGTTTAAATATCTTATCCAGGCCTTGTTATGCCATAGTTAAATTCTGGTAAGGGAAGATGTAGGGTTTCGCTTAGTTCAATTAACCAATTATTCAAATTTTTGTTATCTTTTCTTAACTCCTCAACTTCCCCTTGCATTTTCTCGCAAAGATACAAATTTAAAGTTACGTGAAGTGAGTATTTAAACGGGTGAATCTTGGAGTTAATTCAGAGCGTGTTTTCGCTAGCCAGCGCACGTTGCGAATCTGTCCTTGCTTGTTATAGTTGCTGATACGGCTTTTGGCCTTTTAAATAATTATGACGCCGGGTAGGTTGTCGAGTCAACCTTATTAGACTTAACCTTAACAGCTAATCTAGCACTATTCTTCAGCCTTTAATTTATTTTGTAACAATTGTTAAGTTCCAATGCAAGTTGTCGGTGTTATAAAGCACGAAGTACGTGCCTTTCTGTTCATAGTTGATAATAACGAAGAGTTATTTTTACCTTCTTTCTGTGTTGTTATCCTTTACGCCTGTGCGTGAAGTCGCTAAGTTCCTTAGCAGTATGCTGTACATTTTATGTAGCCCAAGAGAGTACGATTCGACAATTTAAACAAGCAAGTCAATGCTTTGAGAGGGAATAGGAGTGACAAAACACCAACCCTAAAGTGCTGGAACTACGGTGCTGAAAGCCACAGACGGGTGAATTGCAGAACACCCCAGGGTACAGAAAATAAGACCATTACCCAGAATGGACGCAGGAAACAAATTAATGACCATCTCCCAGAGCGGGGTTTGAAAGATAATTAGAAGCCCTATATTAAATCGCTTCAGATTTTTTTCTGCACTAAGTATCAGCAGTAGTGAACTATTCATCAGTGGGCATGTCGATGGAGTTCCTTGCAATCGATACGTTATAAGGTATTTCTCGAGCGTGCTAGCGTGCTTTCGTGGTGTAGTGGTTTTGCACGGTGGGCCGGTATTCCGGAGGTCCGTGTTTCAATTCCTAGCGAAGGCGTTTGCTAATTTTTTATCTTGCCTGCTTCAAAAATATCCTAATGTCTCTACAACGTGAACTAGTGTTACCATCATTTCGCAAAAATTTCAGCCCGACAGTTTAAAGATGAACTGATTTTGACGCCATCTCTAGTTACCCTCCACACTGCGTCTGGTGATAAAATCGAAATTCATGGGACGTTAAACGTAAACATCACATTTGGGTGTGGCACCTACCATCACACGGCATATGTGGTAGATATTACTGATGTTTACATACAGGGATTGGACTTTTTAAGGAAATATAATTTTTTCTTTGAGAAAAATGAACTGCATTCAGCTTCCAAGAACATAACTACCCGTCACTGAAAGAGAACCTTATATGGAAACTCTGACACTTAGCCGACTGGCTCTCGTGGTTCTCCCCAGTGCACCTTCAAGCGTGAGAGAATATATCTATTGCATTTTCATTACGTCCTCTATTGGTGTAATCACCTCTCTAACTGGAATCAAGAAATTTTATTATTTCACTGAAAGATTGTTGGGTGAAATGGATTTAATTCTTTGCATAGTTTCAAGTCAAGAGGAGTAATATAATCAATACAGTATAAGGAACCTGGATTCCATAAACAATCATTTTTTTAATTTAAAAGAATTCGTTATTTTCAAACATATGTGTTTTAAAATGAAAGGTATTTTTTCGCACAGTAACAGTGTTCTGTTACAATAACTATTTTCGCATTAAAAATCTTACTAAAAAAAGAATAAAAAATCCTACTTCTGTACGAATATAATGCAATGAAATATGTTTATAAATTAAATTTCATGACTGCATTCCGTAATAAAACTAATAAATAATAATAAATAAAGAGAAGAATAATGAATAAATTCTAATAAATCTAATAATAGTGAAGAATCTTAGCGACGTTATAGTAAAATGTGGCGTACAAATAAGGTAAAAGCATTTATCCTCCAATTTTCCTCTTTCATTATGTCGTTTTTAAAACGAAATAACGGACGTTTTCAGGAAATCTTGCGGGTGTATTGTTGAAAGCTATTATGAATGGATTATAAGAGCTTAAATTTATTCACAACTTTTCAAACAAAAAACTTCCTATAACAAGAGGAACAAAACATCATTTATGTACAGAAGTAAAATAAAAATGAATAATATATCTTTCACTGATTTTATTCTATTTGGACAGTCGGTTAGGTTAAACAAAAAAGGAGACATTAGAAAGTAGTTGCAGAGGAAAAATGAACCAATTGCTATCATGGCTCGGCTTGGAAATTTTCTATTTTTTATTGCACTGTTATATTTTACAGAAATTTTCTCGAACGTAATGTTACAGACTGATGAAGAAAAAGAAATTTATGAATGCGTTAAGCGGCAACTATGTGAATGTGAAGGTATGTTTGGAATTTAAGTTTCTTTTACAAGATACCATGTTTTGGCTTTTATAGTAAAATCTAATCCCGGTATAATGATATTTGATTTAATATAATTGATTTAAAATTTGCTTTCAATGGTACAGTACCGCAACATATCAAATCGATGGAATATTATCTTTCCAAACATCTTTATATTTCCTACATGTATGCCTAAGCTATAAAATAGATGACTGATTATTATAGAAAAAAGTCTTTAGTATTTTATAATACATAGTATATTATGTTTAAATTTGAATTAGAATAATTCCTCGATTCAAGCGATAATTCTGATTTAAAGATGATTTCATATAGTCGTTGGAGTATTACTGTTAGAATAAACTAGGGTGACTTTTGCATAATAAAACTCGGTAGCTTATATATAAAAAAAAGATAATGATAAAATAAATAAATAAAAGGCTGAAAGCTTTCAGATTTTACATTACTCCCAAAAGGGCTTTTTTAACGTTTTCTGCGCTACCTTTATTTATTAAATATCATGTTCTTCGCACTGAAACCATAAAATTCAGTTCGGCAGTAATATTGCAAAATAATTTTAAAGTGAGCTTATTCTTAGAATTGCCGATACACAGTTTCGCGAGCTGGAGTTTTTTTTTTTTTTTTTTTTTTTTTTTTTTTTTTTTCCGTACAGTGTTGTCATTGCTCGCTTTGAAATCGTTGGGTTTGTTAATCCAAAATTCGTTAAGGTGTTACAAAGTATGAAACTGATAACAAAACAAATTCCAAATTCCAAAGTAGGGCTTCCAGATGGCCATATTAAATGAACGATTACGTTATTTAAAAGTTAATGGCCCTAGATACCTTTGTTTTATCACATACATACATTTAGGCATTATTCGAGAAACATACATACATTTAGGCATTATTCGAGAAACATACATACATTTAGGCAGATTCTTCATTATTTAATTTCTTTAAATATAACGCAGGGCGATAATACTTGTGGCAACAGTTTGAAAAGTGATTTCAGCCATGTTATTTTCTTGTTTTGGAATATGCTACTGTTATATAATGAAACTATTGCGCAATTAGGAGAATATATTACAAATGTTACGACCAATTATCATGACTGTAAAATTGGACAATGCAGATTAATACTTATATTGTAGTAAATAAATGTGGGGGTATGGGCAACAGCAAAAGACATTTTCAAACCATTACTGTGTCAATCACATTAAATAACAATACGTGTAATTATCGCAGTGAAACATAAACAATAAAAACAATTCTAAATTACATTGTTTGCGTTGTGTGACATAATGTCGGGCAGAACCCGTTCAAATATTATGATCCAGTGCAAAGTTAATTAAAATTAATTACAAACTTATCAGAATCAGTCAACGTATCGGAATCAGTCCAGCGAACATGTGCTGCAACTAAATTAAGTCTGTCAATAAAATCTCTAAGCTATGTAGAACCTTCAGCCCCACTAAAAGTGGGAATAGACACATGGGGATCCGCCCCCAAAACAGAGATTCTACCAGTAGTAGGCTGTGTAGTCTGATTTCCAGCAGAATTGTTAGTCACCGCCATTCTGGTAGGTGCTCTGGTATTCTTTTTTATGAATTATAGGCATTGTGAAAGTTAAACTGATAAACAATATAAAAGTGTAACAACAGAATAATTTCTGTAACCTTAATTAAACACAATTTATCATCACAAAGCATAACAGTAATCAAAATGCAATTATGAAAATCAAAACTGAATTAAGTAAGCAAAACTTAAGCTTGAAAATAATAGCAATTAATACATAACACTACTAACGGTACTGTGTAATAGGTAAGCATGAAAGCATTTAATACTTATAAATGAGTCTCTTTTAAGCCCTGTTTACAATACTTCAGTTTAAATGTTTGTGAAGATTATGAATTTTGATTTGTGTTCTGTTTGACTTAAGCAAACTTTCTAACGTGTTAAATAATGATTTCATAGTTATTCTAACTTATGATTCTTACTAAAACTGTGCTAAATAAAGGATAGTGTACTTAAAAGCCTTAACTGTGTTAAATGCGCAACATATCAGTTATTAAATTTGTTCATAACATATTAACATTTACAACTGTTTTATCTCGTGATTCTTTGATAATCAGTTATATTCCTTATAATTGATATAGTAAGTATAATATATTTTATTAATAATATAAACTATACAAAAATTATAAAGGATTTTGTATGAGGGACAGAATATATGGCGTAGAAAGATATTTTACCAATTAAAGTAATGTTGCAAAAGCTAATAAAAATTATTAACTTGATATATTATGTTGTGTAGAGAATTGTCTGATCGCGTTATAAAAACTAGGTGAATGATTTTCTGATTTATGGAAATCTTAATTTTATTTGATTCCGAATTATTTATTTTAATGCTTTAATTTTGGGGAAAAACAGATGCTTCTGGGAATATTATTTAGTTTAAAAGAATATTATTTATTTTCCTTTATTTGCAATTTTTGTCCAAGCTTTGATTCATTGTGAAAAGAAGCAGGGGAAAGGAGGCAATTTTGCTAAGTCATGATTTCGCGCGCTGTGTCCTTTAGAATGTTCTAGAAGAAATTTCATTGTGCAGTTGACCTTAGGACAGGAAGTTCGTGACAGAAGGGTCAGAGATTGCCACTTAACCTTCGATGTAAGCCATTCAGGTTTTGGCGATCGGAAGGTCAGGTTGTTGGCTAAGTGAAGAAGGGGCGCGCACGCGCATTCGCCCTTATTTCCACATTCAGGGGTTGAAACGCAAATTTTGCCCAAATTAAGGGGGCGATAATTGAAGCCATAGTGGGAGCCCGCGTTTGTGAAGGAGACGAAGAAAATTCGAGTTTTAATCATTTTTTGCCGGACTTCCAAGGCTGAAGGATTTGTTAAGTTTCTGTGGATGAATAAGTGGTGAGTCAGGCGGATCACAGCGGACACTATCCGGCCGTCGCCTTGCTGTCGAAAAAAAAAAAATGATCTAGCGAGTATGAAGTTTTTTTTCTCTCCAGCGAGTATTAATTTCCAAAATTATTGGCCAAGTTCCACCCCGGCCAACGTGAGATTTGATACTCGACATCCTGACTGCGAGCTTGAAGATTCTGCTCGGGTGCTGTTTCTAGGGCTTGTTTTCTGCGATGCTGAGCGAGCGGATTGTGTTGCTGAAAAATCATGGAGTCGGTGTTATCCGGAATTGCGGCCAGTGACACCGAAAAGCGTGAGACTCCTTAGACGCCTGTGTTCCCCTTACGGAATGAAATTTTCCAGGAATTATGGTGGACTTATAATCCCTTGAATTTTCCCAGAATGAAAGGCCAGCCCGAGACCAAGTCGTCAAAACCTCAGATAAGTGCTTTGTTATCATTTTCCTTAGAACTTTTGTCGTGTCATTTGTACAATTTTATGGACGGTGAAGCCTTCTTGTGTGAGGATATCCTTAACTTCAAATAGTTCCATATCAATGGGGAGTCCTCTGATGACTGCTTTTATAGGTCGTTGGTGTTTGGGGTTAACCTTTAACCTTTAACTACTGTGACTTAAATTGTCGCATAACTACTGTGAGCGGTCTCTCAGGCCGCTTCTGCTAAAAACTAATAAGATATTGTTTTACTTTTCTTATTTGAATAAATGTTATTTAATTTCATATATTTAACTTTTTCATGAAGATATAAAGCAATTTTTATGCTTAAATCAGTTCATTAGAATAAAATATATACTATGAGAATAATTCCTTCGCTTACGTATCTGGATGGAAGAAGTAAATTTTAAAATTCAAAATTTTTATTTTACATTAAAATTTGCGATAATAATGCTTTAATAAGAATATAGAAAATTAATTTTTATTTTAAAAATTGTAATTCGAGCTGCATTTTATACATACTTTTCTACTGCATTGTAGACACACTGGTTCTTTGCATTCTATATATTTGTAAGCTGTTTTCCTTTTTTTTTTTTTTTTTTTTTTTGTTTGTTTGTTTGCTTGGCGGACAAATATAGCACATTATTTTTTTTATCTAATTTATCGTCTTCGATCGCAATGTTTCCTTCATCATCATTTATTCCGAAAACTCTTCTTATTAAGTTTGAATTCTTTAGGCAAAAATGATGAAGTTATTCTCCGTTTTACATGAGACTGCACCAAATGAATTGCTAACGAAATCTTTTCGTTTTATTTTCGGAGCCAATGGGATAATACTGAAATAATAGGAATGCATTTATTGCACATATAATCCAAGTTTCTGAAGAATATTGCCATAGGCCAACGTCGGGTTCTACGAGCAGTTGTATAGATTGAACGAAGAATAATATTGTGACTACGAGTTCGAATACCCTTGTTGGGCACTTGAATAGACTATTTGAATTAATTTTTTCCAATAAAAAATCTCTTGCAGAAAGGAGAACATGGATTTTCATTTTCATCGGCATATATTTCTGAATTTGTGTCGTGGTCGCTCTCAATAATTTCATCATGGGAACTTTCATCAGAGAACTCTAAATTAGACCAATTTCGAACTATTTATTGAAATTGGTTTTGGGTAAGATATATATAGAACGTTTCCTGCACGCATTTGAAGCAATTTCAAGAATATTTATAAAAAAGTGAAATATGTAACAACAACAAAAAGTGAACTTTATCGGCCGAAATTTGTATCGCATCTGCTGTGATCGGTCCCACAGACCGCTGAGTGGGGGAAATTTAAAAAAAAAATAAAAGAAGAAATAGAGCTAGACAAACGCAACTTGGTATGTGACCTTGGACAACTGTTTTAGGAAGGTACTAAGAATGGTAATACCCATTAATTATTCTAAGAGGTGGAAGCATTTAATGGAAAATGTCGCGCGCTCTGACAGACCGCTCACAGTAGTTAATAATGTAGTGTTCGATATGTTTGTCTTTTAGATATTGTGTAAGTGTTCTGTGATCGTCTGAAGTATCGGGTAAAACTTTAAGGAATTCTCCACTGATTTTGCCAAAGAATTTAGCTTTAGTTTGCTCAGCTAGAAATTTTAAATAGAAGTTGAATTTATAATCGGCGGGTGATACAGATTTAGATTGAGATGAATCAGTAAAAGGTCGATCTGAATTTTTGGCAGAAGTGGATGATTAATTTGTGTTATTATCTATTGTCTGGGTAGCATGTAGCATACTGCTGGCAGAGTCCAATGGACCAAATTTATTTTGAGTAGAGATATCTGAGTGCCTGTTAGCTTTTTTTTTTTTTTAATCTGTTTCGCATATTTTATGGGCTTTACAAAACCATCCTCAGTGTTGAATTATCTGAGATATGAGTTTGCTTACGCTTAGCGTTTAAGTTAACATTCGAATTTTTAGCGAGGCTATTTGGGGGGGGGGTTCCTAGCACATTGAGTTGAATAAAAGGTCAACTTACGCTTCAGGTGCACCAGCTTTTTCTTTAACTCTCGAATGTTCTTGGCGAAGATGGGAGTATGGTTATCCGGGTCCGAGACCGCAAGTATAGCGTCCATTTGTTTCTTGGCCTGTTTGTTTTGCTCAATGCTTGCTTCTTTCAATTTTATTTCAAGCTTGGTATCTGCAACGGCTTTATCGTGGCCTGATGTATCCATGTTTCCATTCTCCATTGAAAAATTGTCCATAATCATGTCGGCAGTAGTAAACGGTAAACTACAGTCTATAGTCTCATTTTTATCCCGCGGAAATGCGATGCCCAAAGGCAAAGGATCACGGCCAAAGAATCTCTAAGAAGAAGAATGAAAGCTTCCATAGACGCAATGTAAACCTGTTTCGCCTCTGCGCCGCTGTACCGAAGAGCCACGGCTATGCAGTGAAACACCAGCGCAGGGTGAAATTTAAACAGGCTCAGTTCGAGGAGATAGTAAATTTTTTACTTTGAAATAACTCAAAATGTTTTATTTTCGTACATTTCTGGAGTTTTATGAGCAAAAGGATGTTAGTTGGAATTTTGGGGCGAATTATAGAAATCCTGCAATTTTTACTTTCAATTTAAACAGCGAGCCGTACGAAGACAAAATTTAAATGAAATAAATTTCTTAATTCTTTTCTTCTGTAAACTTAAAAAGGTGGGAAAACGTAATAAATTTTTATGGATCCATAGTTAAAATTTTACAGTGAAATTTTAAAAGCAAAATTTGCAATAACTAACTGAAACAGAAAAAAATATTTAAAGACAATCAAAGGCACCTCTAAATAAATTGAAAACACTGAAATACATTATAATTATCTGACAACAACTTTAAAAACAAATTACCATGAAAACGTTTAGACAATTATTTGGAATGACCATTGTGAAAACCAAGAGCAAAGTTTTCACCCAATAGCCAAAACCATTTCACTTACAGCATTACATTTAAAAAGTCTTTAAAAGAATTTCACATAGCTAAAACCAAGTACCTCTGACTACAACAACAAAGAACGTTTTCGAACAACGTGGTAAAAGATTGCTAACATGGCCGACGGCATGCTGCATTCTTTGATGCTGCTTTGTTGCCTCCTGATGTTATTTCGCACATGCGCAGTGAGGTACGGAGGGTGGATAGCTTTGGAATGGTTTGCCCCTTTAAAGTAAGCTTCAGGGATATACATAATGTGTCTCTTCGGTCTGACGGAGCCACATTTGCCCCGGGGAACCTTTACTTCTTCTCTTTAGAGATTCTTTGTCACGGCTGTTCTTCATCTGTCGAAGAGCTCAAGATAGAGCAACCCTTACCCACGGAGGCTGAAGGCAGAATATCCTCGTGTGATTTCTGGCATCGTCACTAATTTAGTCTCCACGGATTCAGCATGGGATCAGATCAGAGCCGTTCGCTCGATGAAATGAATCGCTTCTTTTTATAACTCACCGCTCACTAAAAATAACCTTGATGAAAAAAATCCGAAATAGTAGGTGAATAAAGAGCAGTTAGCGAGGATGGAACGAAGAGTATAAAGAATAGTAAGGACAGTGGAATCAGGAATGGTTAGAGACGCTTTCAACTTCCTGTAATTTTAAGTTTCCCTAAAACTTCCTTTCTCATAATAGAATTCGAGAATACAGATTTTTCAAAAACGTTGGGAAATAATAAAATTTAAATTCACTTTTAACAAGGGAATATAAATATTCTTCCGGTCTCTATAATGGAAATCGAACTTTCCTAGCAGTTTTCCAACAAGAGTTCCGTTCTTTTTTCGCCAATCAAGACTAAGCTCGATCAGTAAAGTGAATTATTTCTTGAATGGATAGCAGATCTTTATTCTTGGCATGTTTCCAAAAAAGAGCTTTCCGTAAACTGTGAAAGAGCTGCTCCTGCATTTCCTGGAACCGGGGTAAATTCACAGTAAAATTAATTGGTTCTTTGAATCATTCGGTTGAAATTTTGAATCATTCTGTTGTTCACTCTATTGAAAATTATCGACATTTATTTCACTAAATATTTTATTACTTTTATTAAGAATCAGTTTTAATGGATACATAATTTTATATTATGCGAGTTTCAAGATATGTTAAAAACTACTTGAGTAGGAAACGTTAGCACAAAAAAATGTTGGACTAACAAAATTCACAAAAGCAGTTGTAAGAAGTGGTAAATTTGCGAAAAATCGCATGATCTGGCTACACTGTCCTCAACGTGAAAGAGTGGACGAATTTTTCAATATCTGCATGCGATCTCTTTATTGCATCAGAAAAAAAAGTGAGCGTTACTTGTTTAACATTGAATTTTAAGCAATTTGTTATTAAGAAGCATTATTATTACGCCAAGCGAATTACCTGTTTCGAAGTTTAAATTGTACTTTATATTTTTAAAATTGGTTTACTTCTGTGTTTCTTTCATAGTTCTGTGTGATAATGTATTGTTAAGCATTTTGTATACACGTAAATAATTTTAATGAAATTATATATAAATTGTAGTACATCTTGTATAATGTAATGTGAATGCCTCAGAATGCGAAGCATCACCGAAAAAATAAGGTTACAGGAGTAAGTCCACTTAACATTGAGGTAAATGGCCAACGTGGTGACTATTTTGGCGACTAATTTTTGTCGCTAAATTTATCGAGAAACCACCACAAATCGCCCAATTTGGCAACATTCTAGTCCTAGCCTATTATGAAAATGCGTAACTGTAACTGTTACCCATCCTATGTGGCTGTAATTCAAAACTTTTAGTAATACATGAAGAAACAAATAATATCATTAGTACATTATGTTTAAAGTAAATGGAATACGTTGTGTACCAGGTGCATATGAAACCTGAAATCCGTGAATTGATTAAAATTACATTAATGAGTTTGTAGAGTCATCAGTTTATTTTGAAGCAGGATATGTGAAAAATGGCAATTCCCTCGGAGGGACCTCTAGAATACTCGAGTGTTCTCGAATACTCGCCGAGTAAATACCTTATAGGTTAATTATTATTAATTGAAAATTAGAGGAAATGTCTAAAAAAGTGAATATCATTTAATAAAATTTATGGAAATGTTAAAGCATGCTGTGTAAAAAATAAGTAATAAAAATATTAAAAAAATCTGAAAGGGTTCAGACCTTAACGGTCACCCAAAAGCGTTTGTTAAGTTTTCTTTACGCTCTCTCTGAGCTTGCAGTCTACAATATTCTGTTGTGCGAACTCCTGTTAATCTATTTCTTTTTGTCTTTTTAGCTTTGTTATTAAGATAATTTTCTTCGCATTTATGTCATATATAATTTAATAGCACAATTCCAAAAATTTTAAAAGCAACATCATAGCCGCATATGCTTAGAATTCCCGATGCAGTTTTAAGCGTTGGCATATATTTTATTTTTTTCAGTCTTTACTCAGTTTATCATGTCAATGTTCAATTTCTTTAGTAAGATACCTTGAAAAACTCTTTTTTAATATTAAGATTTGTGTTAACTTTGTTATTTAAATATCACGTTCTTCGCACTTATGCTACATGAAATTGGCTGAAGTACTCAAGAGGGAGGTCACTGCTAATTGCACACAACGAATGTTTAGTTTTGGTCTATCCAAAGAAACTACAGAACCCGGATTGAAAATAATTTTATTACATACATGCAGCACAAAAAAAGTAATAATAAATAAAAAATTCACAACAATTTAATCTATGTACAACAGAACAAGAAGAATATTTAGCTCAAGACATATTTTGTGGATAAAAGGAACATTTATGATAGCACTAATTTGACTTTTCACTTAATAATTAGCTGTTATTCTTCTTTATAATAATGAATTAAATTAGAGATAATTATTAGGATTAAAATTATGGTGCAAATTGGAGCAAGAAAGTGGGCATAGTTCCAGTTTTTAATTGTATGTGTTTCATTTAGCAATTTGATATTATATTGTGATAAATTCCATTTTTGAAAAATTAGTGGATATTTTCTACTGCTTTAGAATAATAAAATGTTTATTCTTTTATATAGGTGGTGCAGACAATTATAAGAGATGCTACTCATACCTGAAAGAAGAGGTAAAAAGCTTAATATATTTTTTTCAATGTCTTTTTTCAATGTAATTATTTTTACTGAAATGCTAAAGAAACAAATAATACAAAAATTTTGAAAGGCAAATTAATTATACTGAAAATAAATAATGCTTCCAATAATTCAATTCAATCCAGATTCAACTATTTTTGTTTCAGAATGATTTTTTATGCAGTTTTATAAGAAAGTTAAATATTACGAATAAAACGTAATAGTTTGAGTTACATAAGTAATAATTCGAAGTAAACAGTAACTATTTAAAGGAAAAGGTATTCTAAGAAATATGTCATTAAAGCCGAATCATGCTAGAAAATTTGTAAAAAGTATTCACAAGATATTTAAATCATAAATTACAAAATATAAGTGTAGTAAATATATATTTTTTTAAAACTTCAAAGCGAGATGATTTTCGCTATAATATGCGTTTAAAACTTTGTTTAAGGAAAATAAAAATGTGAAAAGTAGTACATGTCCCATACTATGGGACACCCTGCATTTTTATTATTTTACCCATTTTTAATATCAAAACACAAGACAATTAATGTTATTTTCACAAAAACAAATCAATTTTCACAAAAAGACATCAGTTTTCCATGATTTTGAAAAAGTGTGTAGGTTTTATATTTATTTTAACTAACATTTATTTTAAGCTATCTTTCCTGTCAAGCCTTTACTTTCCCCTAGAATTGCCAATGCTAGAGTATGTAAATTGTAGTAGAGCGCGCAGTATATTCAAATTTAGCGGAAGTAAGTTGAGTTTAAATAGAAGGAAAACGAGATCGTAGGTATGCTTCTTGAATCGCGAACGTGAAGGTTGCTAGGTAGAAATTAAAGAACCGCGCGTTTCGGCCTGTCTCGGCAGTTTTTGCTGAATCTTTCAACTGTTTAATTAGTAAGCTTCCTGAATCTCAGCGGTATTTTAGAACATGGTTAGGTTAGTTTAAGATCTCAGAGCCTCGTGGATAGTGACATCGCTATTTTATTCATTCAGTCATTATTGTTCAGTTTTACATTCTGTTTCAGTTAAACCGCCGGGTCGGCGTAGTTTGTGAGCGTCAAGTGGGCGCAGCTGTTATTTTTAAAGTTGAATAAAAAGGGCTTTAAACCCTTCTTACGTGTCTGTGTAAATTTACACTTAGTAGCAGTCACTACCACAGTTGCTGACAAGTTGGGGCCACACGACACTACAAGTGAATATTTTGTATTTTTTTCAATTTCTAAAAAAAAACTGTAGACAAAATTTTCATTAATTTTAATGAAAAAAGATATAAAATACTTTAATAAAGAACAAAAGAACTATAAAAATAGTTAAAAAATCAAGTATTTTTTACAATTTTTCCAAGTATCAAATTTAAGAAAAATTCAATTTAGACAAAAAGTATTAAAATGTAATGACTTTTTCATTGATCATCAACCTTTAAAAAGAATGAAAATATATTAAAAATTGAAAGAAATCCAGAGTGGAAAATATTCCACCCCCTGAAAAATGTAAAAAATTGAAAATTATTCTAATTCTTTTAATTTATAGACATAATGTCCATTTTTTATTCCTTTATAATTAAATATATAGTCTCCAAGGTTAATTTCATTTATAACTTTATCATAACGTTCTCTGTACTTTAACAAGATAATATTCTTTAGGTTCATCATTGACATTTAATTTAATAATGGTTGAATCTCCAAATTTTGTCTGAATTTTTCTCAATGATATTAGATCATATTTTCCAGGTTCTAAATCTTTCAATTTTAGAGTTTTCGGATAAGATGTAGTCTGTTGAATTCCTTCATCTCTATTTATATAAAAAAAAAATTTTGAATGTTTTGCACCCTGATTTGTTACTAAAACAATTACGTTTTTGTTTAAATTAAGTATTCCAGTCAAACTTCAATTTTTCCAAAACCTCTTCTAAATCAAGGGGCATCATATCATATAATTTTTAAAATTTTTAATTTCAATATCATATTTTCCAAGTACATATTAGAGAGTTTCTATTGAGTTACAAGGACATGATTCCTTACGACATAACTTATCATATTCTTCTTTTAATATGTCATCTAATCTTCTTAATTCATTTTCTATTTATAGGTAAAAAAATCTGATTATTATCCAAAGGATACAGTATCATAATTATCTAAAATTCTTCCTTTATCAAAACTGAATGTATATTTTTAATTTGTATTATTTACTTTTATATCTCTTTTTTAATTTTAAATTGACTAATTTCTACATCTATTTAATTATTTTTTCCTGTTATTATTTTATTTCTTACATCAAAATTGAGTTTGCTTTCTGTTTCATGAGGTAACTTGAAGCCTTTTTCTTTTCCAAACTCCTTGCCGTAATTTAAAATATAACTATAATCTTTGGACGCCCCTGATATCCATTATTTGATAAAAACCTCATCGCTTACAACCTGTTTTTACTCTATTCGTACCGCCATCAATATAAATTATAAAATCGGTATCATACTGGTAGTGAAAGCTGCTATATACATATTTGTGTTAAAATTATCTTTTACATATTCATCTTTCATTTTATAATTCATTTCTACACATTTCTCATTCCATAAATATCGTATTTAAATTTTTAATTCTATCGTTTAATAGGATTTCGTAAAATTTTTCCAATTGCATAACACATACCGCCTGATTCAGAAGTCAAACAACAAAAATCAGCGTTATATTTTCAAATTTTCACAGGACTAGTTTCGATGGCTTTACCGAACCACCATCCTCAGCTGCAAAAGCGCAAAGGAACAAGATAGGATATAATGATCAGATAAGATAAGTAAGCTTGGACAGAAAATAAGCTAGTGGCGCCATCTGTTGATGAAACCAGAACTAAAACATAATTTCTTTTAAGGCCGAAGGCCAAGATGGATTGGAGTTGAGATCGTTAACTAGAACAGACGATTTTTTTGAATGTGAAATCCAGAATCGAGAAAATCCATTTCTCCAATGGAAGATGTTTTTTAAATAATTTTGGTAGCAGAAAAATTGAAAGTGTGATTTTCGGACCAACAATGTTGGGCAACAGAAGATTTCTGTGTTTCCTTTTTTCTAACATATGCCTCATATTCCTTGACGCGAAATTTTAAGGCTGTCTTAGTTTGGCCAATGCAAATTAAACCCACACTGGCAAGGAATTCCTATAAATACCCCAGGAATGCATATCCGGAATGGGGTCCTTGAGTATGGAATTCGCAATTTTATTGATGGGAGAATAAATGACCCGAAAGTTAAATTTCTGCAAAATATGTGAAACTTTATAGCTATAATTGATGGAAAGAAAGGAATGACAACAGAATTTTTATAATCTCCTAAAACAAGAGTGTGCCTTTTAGTGTGTTGAGATGACAATTTTTTGATGAGAAAACCCCTGTCAACAGCTATCACTTTTAAATAATTTAGTTCTTCATCAAGAGATAGTTTGGAGAAGCAAACTTGAAGAGCACGGAAAACATAGGAATAAAATGAAGCTAACTTTTGCTTAATCGGATGATATGATTTAAAGTGTGGTGGAAGGCAAACCGATGAAGATTTACGGTAAACCGTAGTACTGAAGTTGGATGTGTTACGTGTGACCAGAATGTCGAGAAACGGAAGAGAATTGCAAGTCTCAAGTTCAAAAGTGAACTGAATAGCATGATCAATACAATTCATTGTTGAAAGAACTTTATTTAAATCATCTTTATTACTTTCAAACAGGGTAAAAGTTTCGTTTACGTAGCGGAACCATGCCGGGAAGTTTAAAGTTTCAAACAATTTTGATTCATAATAATGCATGTAGATATCAGCCAGGATGGGACTGAGGGGGCTTCCCATGGCTAATCCCTAAGTTTGCTTGTAATATTTATTTCGGAAAACAAAACGTGTTTGTTTCAAACAGAGTTGAGTAAGAGAAATTAGCTCATCAATTTCGATGCAAGAGAAATGAAATTTGCGATGTCTGGTTTCTAGACATCTTAATGCATCCTCCACTGGGACATTGGTGAATAATGATTTTACATCAAAAGAAACCATGAGTAAATTACTAGGAGAAATGTTTTTAACTTTTTTTACAAACTCTATAGAAATTTTATGGTGTAAATGTTATTGTCTAATAAAGTGGAAAATCTAGAAACCAAATATTTAGCTAATGGATACGAGGCAGTACCTAAATTTGATACAATAGGGCGTAAAGGAATACCACTTTTATGAATTTTGGGAAGAGCATATAATCTGTCACAATTCGCAACAGATGGGACAAGTGAATGTTTTAAGTTCTTGAAATGATTTGCGAAGATTTGATCGCAGTTTTTATTTTTGACAGATCCGAAGGTGAAGAATCTTTAGGGATCGGATTATATGGTCCTTCGTTTAAGAGTTTAGTGACACCATCGATGTAACTGTCCTTATCCATGCCGACTATCTGGCCACCTTTGTCGGCCTTTGAAATGATAATATCCGTGTTAGAATGAATTTTGCTCATTGTAGCTCTTTCTCTCGCAGTTAAGTTTGGTTTCAAAGGTTTATTTTTGAATTTCAAATTATGAGCGATAAGATGCCTAATCATTTCTTTCTGTGAATCTGAAACTTTACTGAACTTGAAAGCTTTTTCGATAGGAGCCAAATCTTTTGGAATCGAGGGTTTACAGGTTTGAGAGAAGTTAAAATTATATTTTAGAATTCTCTCTTGTTCTTCTGATAAACTAATATTAGAATTCTAATGTCGAACACTAATGAGCTAGGTAACTCACATAATTACTAAACTAGATGAAAAACGGGCTTATGAAGAACAGGAAAAATATCTAGGTAAAGACGACTTATAGATAGGATGGGCGATTTTGATGCGACAAAGATGATCCTGTACAGAGAATTAACAATTGCAAAACTATCAGAAAGTGCTGGAATGGTTGAAACCTTGTCAGATCGTACTACAGAAGCTGATACCATTATTAAAAGTAGACTCATAAATAACGCAATTCGTTGTCTACACGAGAACAGAAATTAATATGAAGAGAAAAGACCAAAGAAGAAAAATGTGCAGACATCGATACTGTAATTTTTAAAGAATATAAAAACTAATTATGAAAAAATCTTGCATTTTTTAAGATTATCTCTACATATAATAATAAAAGAAAGAGTCTGTCTGTGTGTCTTTCGTTCGCGCTGCGCGTAAGCTAATAGACCCACGGCTACGAATTTGGACAAGACAAGAGCCAGTGCGCCTCGAAGCGAGTTTTTCGAAATTCGAATTGGAATTTTTTTTATTTTATGTTTTGTGACGAAATCGGGTCATTTTGAGACATAATGGGATATAGGAAAGCGAGATTTTACTCTACACACTCCATTTTCACATCGTCATGAAATGTAGGTACTTAGCTATTTTACTAACTTAAAATAAATTTCGTGTTTCAATAAATCGATTAAATACGAATTTATTTAACAAAGTAATCTTAACACTTTTTTAACGGGATTTTTTTCTAAAAAGTATTATTTAAAAAAATATACAGTTTATTTTTCTTTGATTTTTGGACACGTTAAACTTTCATCCTTGCGACTGCTTTTACAAAACGAATTTTGGAAAAATGATAATATTTTGTATTTTTAAATGAAGCTTCCGAGTATATTTCTCATATCTCACATCTTTAAAAATGTGATTTTGGCAACAATTTTCCTTTCTTATTGTTGTTGATAGATTTTTGATGAAATCTCATTATTTTGAGTAGTTTCATTCTTTTAGAAATATGGGGTTTGGCATTGTATTTCTTATGTCACTGTTTTTAAGAGATTGGCATATTTCATTGTCATTTTTTATATATAATACATTTTTATTGATTTTTTTTTTTTTTTTGATAAAGTTGTTCTGCAGAGTAAACTTCTGCGCGGAATTTTTTGTTTTTTGAGTTTCATTTATGTTATTTTTTGCTTATTTCACTGTTTGTAAGATACTGAAACGTTTTGCACGATTTTTTTTTCTTCAACGGAAAGTTGGTTAATTTTATTTATATGTAATACATGTTTTTAAATTTTTTTTCGGAAGTTTTCTGCAGAGTAAAATTCTGCGCATTTTTTAAATTTTACGTTTGGTGTTCCCTTCAGGCATTTTTACGGTACATTTAAAAGCCAGACGAATGCTGGCAGCGTAGCTGCTAGTTTTTAATAAAGACATTTGAATGTACTAATCGGGCTTCACTTAGTAAAACAATGAAAAATGTTTTGCAAACAATTACCATTTTTTCCTCTCCGTTGTATTTAGTTCCTCGATTAGTTTGGTTTCAAACAATTCGAGGTATCATACTAACCGACTACCTGGATCTTGCGACGTATTGCTCCACATTTAAGGTTTTTTTTTTTTTAAGACTTCTACCAAATATAATCGCTTTGGAGGAGTAATGACGAGGTGATTTTGTTTACGATTTGTCTGATTTTCCGATACAAGAAACTTTACAAATAAGACTATTTAAAAAGGAAGCTTCTGGCAACATTTCTATTGTTGCGTGCGTGAAGGTTCGTAATAGATTAAATGCACACATGATGACAGCTTGATAAAATATATTTTGCCAAAAGAAACACCTCACAGTTCTGTAAATTTCTATAAAAATAATCTCACAGGTTTTTCACAGTATCACAGAGTACTACCAATAATTATACATCAAACAACTAAGAACATTAAACCCAAAGTAAATGGCGATCATCGGAAAGGCGAAGTTCTCACGGATATCTCAATACTCCGTACTCGCTCTCAACTAACCAACTGAGAAACGGATGCTCTTTCCGGTCTTTCTACCGGCCGCCGAAAAATCTCTGGTACTTTTCCAAATAGCTGAAAGGTCATATGAGGGCCGGATAGGATTACAGTTGTATACAGAATTAATTACAATTACTCAATTACAATAGACATTACGGTAATACAGGGACCGCACAAATTTGTTACCAAATGGTCGGCAAGTTTGGAGACTTTTGGCGATTTCCTGCCAAATTTGCTGACGAAACTTATTCACCAAGACTTGGCGATATCACCCCAAACTAGCGAGCTAGCCCTTTACGCAACGTTATATAGACTTGTCCCTGTATTCTTACTTTCCCGGTAGAGCATCATCTCTGTAGATTTTCCTGCTGTATTATACAGAATATATACAACAGTTTTGCATATATCTTCATTAAAATTATTTATATATGTACGAAATTCGTAGCACTGTATTTGGTTCCCTTCTGTAAACACATCAAATCATTTCCATAAGTTCTTTTAAAAAATTAAAAAACATCACTTAGCAATTAAATTTCGAAGATCCATTATCACATGATAATATGTAGGTTTTGCTACAGTTTGCTCGAAGTCCATCAAAAATAAAATTTTAGCTATTCATTATTTGAATTTGCTGTAAATTGTTATCAGGAAGAACGTTACTTTATTATTTAAACTGAAAATATTCATTTTAGTTTTTTTTACTGAAAGTGTTTCTTTCTTAACTGCTATATATTCGCTTTATATCTTACACCCAATACATATCACCAAAGAATTATACAGAATTGAAACTAAATTAAAATATAAATCTACCTTATAAAATGAATGAAATTATTGATTTCAACAGTAATTTATAGTGTAACAAACTTTCAATAACTATTTGGATTTTCTTTTCTCATATTATTAACTGGTATTATTTTTCGCAGACTTCTCAGTGGTTTATTGGAGAAGTCAACAAGTGTAATATGGGCACATTCACTAGTTTCGATGACTTGGTTAGAAGCATCTGTGGAGAACATATTGAAGAAATTGTAAGCATTTTCTCGCCATTTAGAACTTATCAGCCAATAATTATGTTTTTATATAATATTGCAAAAGTAAGTATTAGTGAACATATTGCAAAAGAGGTAGTAAAGTAAGTAAACTAGAAAGTATGTACATTAAAAAGCGATAAACAAAGTTTTGTATCTCAGTGGGAGAAATAAGCATAAGAAAAAAAAAAACCTTTTAACCACTTAACTAAATACATTTAAATTTAGTTAAGTGCAGTAAAAAGTAGAAAAATAATTTTTTATTATTCATAGTATTCTTGATAATTTACGAGTAATATCATAACATTGAGGCTTATTTAACAGCGTAGGATTTGAAATCTGAATTGGAGAACAGAAACGAAAGTGAATTGAATGTATCCATTTTATACATGGTCTTTCTGTAAAAACACATCTATTATTTCTTAAAATTTTGTTAATGAACTAAATTAACTTAAAATATATTTCTTACATTTCAGCTAACTGATTTAAAACGTGCAAATTAAATAGGTTTTTTATACTTTTTTTTTACACTCTATAGTCCATAAAATTTAAAAAATCACCTTTCTGGATGTAGAAAATTATTCTTTTTAAGCTAACATTAAGTCTAAATTCAACTCATTTAAATGTTATTTAATTTGGAAACCCCATCTCACCATGATGTAAAACCCTGAACCTGCTAACAATGATATATTAAATCTCCTGATTTAAAAAATCCATTACTGTTAGTAACCGCGCTATTAAAAAAAAGCTGATGTGTACACCCATGACTTCCTTATACGGAATATGTAATTATACGATTCCTGATTCCTTATACGGAATATGTAATTATACGCATTTTTACCTACGTTTCATTTAATCTTATTTCCTCGACTTTCATTAGATACAGATTTCTCATTCAATACATTCAAATCTCACTTCTCGGCAAGGCAAAAATACATAAAAACACATAAAAATGTATTTTTATTAAAAATATTGTATTAAGTATTTTCATTAAAAATTGAAAGATATAGGAAAATATAAAACACCAAATATAATTAAATTTAAAAAAAAATAGAATTTCTACGCAAAAACAAGCAATTCGGCCAACACGGAGAAAGGCGGATTTTTCATTGCACAAAACTAAAAGTGTCCTTCTGGTCTCATTCAGCAGAAAACCATCTAGGTGGAAAAAGAATTAAATCACTATTTTGCTGCGTTTTAAACATAAACAAATATGCCTGCTATGGTAAAATTTAGGCTTAGCCGCACTTCACTTTTAAATTGTTGATAATTCTACAGCTATTGCATGCAGTTCAACTAAAGGCATAAAAATCTTAACTGCAAGATAAGAACAAAATAATTCAATTATTTTTAAAGCAAAAAATGCACAATTTACGAACATATAAGAATAAAACAAACTGAGCTCACTTAACCGAGTAACAGAGTGGGTATACGTATATTTATTAAAATTTCTTCTTCTAACGTATCACTTACTACCTTTAGTTTGGGTATTTCTTAACTCATACCCATATAGATGACGAAACACGAATTGGGCAATTGAAGAGTTACGTTTGGGGGGCAACTTCCTTTTGAAAAGATCTGTCTCCTGCCTGCTCAACAATTATTTACTTTATGCAAGTTCAAATTTATTTTAAAAAAATTTTAAAGCGTTTTTAAGATAAAAATATTTAGGACTCTATTATTATTTATTGTATTTACATACTTGTGCTTTATTTACTTATGTTTTCTGAATCTAATCATGCTGCAAATTAGTTCGCAGCAATAATTAATTTTTTGTTGTTGCATTTATGAAATATATATATAGTTACATACTTTCTGATTAGCCGATTGCAACCAAAAAGGGAGATGTACAACTACATGTTATAGCAGTCTTATATACAAAATTTCAGCGTTCTACGGCTATTCGTTTTTGAGTTGTGCGAGATTACAATTGAAATTACAGTCTGTAAGAAAAAAAAAAAAAAAAAAAAAAAAAAATTCGGCCAGCGGGCAAAAAGATAGATTTTTCGTTGCACAAAACTGAAAGTTTACTTTTTGTCTCACTCGGCAAAAAGGCACTGAAGACGTAGAAACTGAATTAATTTGCTGTGGACGCTAAACTGCGTTAATATATGGGGATAGTTTAATAACTTAAAAGTTAATTCCAGAATGGATTAAGCATAATTTAATTCGCAATAATAAAAGAAGACGTTAGTTAGTTGTTGTGAAGCTTAGTTTTTCTAGATTGGCAACAAATCTACTGTTCTGCTAGGTTTCAAATGTAAACAAATATGGCAGCTGTGGTAAAAAAATTAGGCTCAGCCGCCCTTGAATAACTTTTAAGTTGTTGCTAACTCAATAACTATAACATGCATGTTAACTAAAGGCAATAAAACCTTAGCTGGAAGGTAAGAACAATATAATGCAATCCTTTTTAAAGGAAAAAATGCATACGAACATATAAGAATAAAGAAACTGAGCTCACTGAGCCAAGTAACAGAGTGGATACATATATACATATACTTATGCCCATTGCAACCAAAAAGAGAGGTGCACAACCACATCTTATAGCAGTTCTATACAACATTCCAACTTTCTAAGGCTACTCGTTTTTGAGTTATACGAGATACATATATACATACGTACGTACAGACACCACGAAAAAATCTCTTCTGAAACCATTTTAAATCAGTTTTATAATTCGTTTGGGAAAAAGAGTCCTTTATTCGGTTCTTACGTACAGATATCACGCAAAAACATCGTTAAACTGCATTCGATAGCTCTCAAAATGGATATTATCGTTGAAATTTGGTACTTGGAATTTTTCGTGATTGGAATGCTTCGTTTACTTCCTACAAGGAAAGAGATAGTCGAAGCTTTTTAAAAGCTCCAGATTGCGGCAATTACATCATAAAATATAAAAATAAAATAATAATAATAAAAAAAATTAAAAGATTTGAGACTTTAAATTACGTCCAAATGGGCGACTTTTTTTTAACGTTTTGTCTGTTATCTTTATTTATTAAGTATCATGGTCTATATATTCAAAATATAAAATTCAGTTCAACACTAATATCGCAAATTAATTTTAAAATGAGCTTTAATTAATTTAAAATTAATTTTAAAATATCTTTAGAATTTCCGATACAGTCTCGCGCGCTGGAGATAAGAATTTTTTTTTTCGTATAGTGGAGCGGTAAAGTCGCTGAACACTGGTAGTTCGAATCCCGCGAACGGGCTGGCTGCATGGGTGTTTTCGTGGTTTTCCCCATGTGTAACGTGTATACGAGCCAGTTTCCCTTAGAATGTCCTCCACGAAGGCATCCCTCCTCTTAGGCAGATAGCCCTCGAGGCTTTGCCATAATCACACACACCACACATTTTCGTATAGTGTTGCCATTGTTCGCTTTGAAATAGTTTAGTTTCATAATAAAAAATTCGATCAAGTGTTACAAAATATGAAATCAATAATAAAACAAATTTCAAATTCAAATTACGGCTTCCACATGACCATATTCTATGGAAGATTACGTTATTTCAAATTTTGATGGCTCTAGGCACCGTTGTTTTATCACAGTGCGAGAAATATACATACATTTATGCAGATTCATAATTATTTAATTTCTTTAAATATAAGACAAGGCGATAATATATGGTAGCAACGATTTGAAAAGTGATACAGCTTTTTAAAATCTTCCGCCCCAAAGTTTAAAAACGAAATTCATAGTCCTTCAGGGCAAATTGTCCCTTTAGACTAAAAATTTTTGTCTAAAATTATTTTTCTGTGCTGATGTAAAGAATAAAATTAATCTCTTTTATTTAATGCGAGGACTAAATTAAATTTTCCTATGAAGAACTGTATTATCATCGCAAACACACATGTAGTCAATCTACAAAACTTAGCAATAATTTATTTAACAACTTCTATGAAACCTCACAAACGATAAATTACGGCATTTATTACTCTTCGTTTGCACTTGTTCTTCTTAAGTTATCCATTTACGGGCAGAATTATCTACGTAATTAATTCTTTGCTTCGATTCTGTAAACATTTGCTGCCATATGGATTCGAAAGCTTAGTAAATAATAGCAATAAATTTTATAGCGAAGGAATCAAGTCTCATTTTTACTTCTTTGTACGAAATAAAGAAATATTTGTAATCACGAAAAATTTTGGGTGTTATAAAAGCCTGAATCACTTTTTAAATTGTTGCTGCCAAATATCATTGCCCTGCATCATATACAAAGAAATTCAATAATGAAAAATCTGCATAAATGTACGTGTGTTTTTCTCACTGTGAAAAAGTAATGGTACCTAGAGATATTAAATTTTCAATAACGTAGTCCTGCACTCGAATATGGGATCTGGAAGCCCGAATTTGGAATATGTTTTATTATCTATTTCATATTTTGTAAAACATTAACTAATCTATGATTAACAAACTCGGCGATTTCAAAGCGTTCATTAATATTAACATCGCGTGCATCTTTAAACACGGATATTTTATGCACGGGGTTTCTTTGCATTTCTTACTAATATTATGTTTGTAACGTAGCAACGCAAAGACGTTACAATGTATAACAGTATTGTGCGTCGAATAACTTTGAATGTCTGTATTACTTTTCAAATCGCGTTTTGAATTCCCCGTGAAATAAACGCCCCGTTAGATGTAATATAAAATCTGAAAGCTTTCAAATTTTTTGCATTATTGATTTGAATAAACAAACCACAGATCTAAAGTTATAATCAATGTAAAGATCGAAAATGCAAGATGTTCCTTATGGGGAAAAATGGAAGTTTTATCAAGATAGAGGAATTTGCAGTAGTTTGCTAGAATACTTATAAAATAGGGACTTCTTTTTTCTGAACTTAAATTCATTTGTATTTTATAAACATCTCATTAGTTATTAAAACACATATCATCTATCTATATTTTTATAAAGAAGAAAGTTTGAGTGTTTTTGTTTTTCCTTTAATAACTCAGCCACTACTATAGCTATAGTCACCAAATTTTTTTAAA